CCCTGCCCCACCGGTACCCTACATGGCTGCAGGGCCCAGCCGGCCTCACCATGGTCTGCACCACAGGCTGCCAGGGAGTCTCTGCTCCAGTGCCTGGAGCACCTGCGCCCCTCCTTCTCACTGACCTGGGGGTCCGCAGAGCTGGTCCTTTCACATCTCGCTCTTTGTCTGTCTGCAAAATCTGCTCTTCTGTTTTTATTTTTCTCTTCTTAAACACATTACCACAGAGGTGTTATGACTGTGGCTGGCTTCGCCTTGGCCAGCAGCAGGTCGCCCAGCAGCGGGTCTTGTCTTGGAGCCATCTGGCATTGGCTCTGTTGGACACAGAGGAAGCTTCCAGCAGCCTCTAACAGAAGCCAACCCCTAGTCCCCCAGCTACCAAAACCTTGCCATGCAAACCCCATAGAGGCACCCTGCTTTGAGTCAAGAGGGTTGGATAAGACAATTGCCAGAGGTTCCTTCCAACCTCAGCTAAGCTGTGGCCCCAATGGTGTGTGTCTCTAGAGCTCAGTACCTACTCCCTAGCAAGGCAGGAGATCCACAGACATTCTGAAATTACTCTGCCTAATTCTCAGGATACCTTATGTCACTGAAATGTCCACATCATGCACAGAGGAGAAGAACAGGAACATTTCCTCTGAAAAGCCTTCATTTCTGTGTTACCCCTAGGGAAGCCAACAAGCTTTTTTAAACATGAAAGCTGTCAGATACAGTTCAGTTTTCCAGTTGTGAAAGGAAGTTGCATGGTATTGATCAAATTCACACAATGATACACAAGCACAAAAATTTAGATTCGGGAGCTCCGTACAGAAGTACTTTGTGCAATGATCATAGAATCATAGAATGGTTAGGGTTGGAAGGGACCTTAAAGATCATCTAGTTCCAACCCCCTGACATGGGCAGGGACACCTTCCACTAGATGAGGTTGCTCAAAGCCTCGTCCAGCCTGGCTTTTTTTATAACAGCTTTCTGTGCACAGCCAGCAACAGTCCTTCCCTGATGATAGATTTGACCTCATTTGTTTCCCTGTTACACCACAGTTAAACTACAGAGAAAAAAACTTTTCCCACAAAAATATACAAAGAAAACCACATACAACATGAGTGCACAAGCAGGAAAATACAATGCTTACTGATAACCCATACACTGTACTCTGTTTAGGCTTCCAGCAGATCAGCATACATCACTCAGTCTCACTTGCACAGCTAAAGAAATCACTTGGGTCATCACCAGCTGAGATCTCATCCAAAGGCTATCAGAACCCTACCCAACCATGCATGTGCTCAGCTCCGCTACCTCCTAATACACTCAAGCTGATTTCTAACCTACAAATACAGCCCTAAAACTTAATAAGTGGAGGTTACAGAATGTGTTTTAAAAACTCTCCTATCCACACAGCAACAGGCTTCCTCCTGGAACCTTTTATATCTGCCAACACAAAACTCTGCTTAGTAGCACAATGCATGCAGCAATAACCTGAGGATGATGTGGATATATCTGAACCTGTTAGACTCTGCCTATCTCATCCAGGTTTTTGGTAAATATAGTATCTATTATGCCAAATAAAATATAAAAGAATGAGGTCAGGACTTGGTGGTAATAGTCAAAATAAACCTAGTTATACCAATATTTAGGTTTGGACGCTGTAGATGGGAGTAAGAAGTAAAACGCTGGTCACCTGAACAGTTGTAGGGAGTAAAATAGTAAGACAGAAAAGCAGCTGACAGATCAAATGAAGGACCCATACTTAAACATTTCTCTCAGCCTCAAGGGGTCACCCTTTCAAAATCGTCTCATCCTGTTCCCACCGACCAAGTGAGAATAAAAGCAGAGCTGCCTCAAATCAAGCACATTTACAACATTATCCTGTGATTACAGGATGTGAGAAAAGAGATCTTCAGTAATGTAGGAAATTGAAGAATCCCCCTGCAGCATACTGCAATTTTAATGACACTGGAAAAGCCAAATTAATTCAAGCAATTTCCCATCCTGTCACCCACTGGATGAAGTACACAAAGTACATGACCATTGCTGAAAACATGCAGCTAAACCAGGCTGCAGGAGCACGAGCATAAGACACCCCAGGAGCTGACTCATGGACACTTTATAATGAAGACAAGAGTAAGAACAGGCAGTATGACACTACACTTACTTTGATCTGTCCTTCCCAGAAGCTCAGGCCAAACAACAGCTCTTTCTCTTCCTCCTCTCAGGTCCAGGAACACTGGAATGACAAAGGGCTGAATGGGAAGCCACTGGGAAACAAGAAACATCAAACATCAGCATTACAATGTGGTCAGAAGATATCTAGTTCCACTGTTCACCATCCTCAAACTCAGGCAACAGATATGCCCCACCTCTTCACCACAGAG